CCTAGAGGACCCTAACATCTGGGGTTGGCCTGGTCCTGCACAGAGCTCCTACCTCACCACACCCTCCTGACCCTAGAGGACTCTCACATCTGGGGTTAGCCTGGTCCTGCACAGAGCTCCTACCTCACCACACCCTCCTGAGCCTGGAGGACTCTCACATCTGGGGTTGGCCCTGGTCCTGCACAGAGCTCCTACCTCACCACACCCTCCTGACCCTAGGGGACCCTAACATCTGGGGTTGGCCCTGGTCCTGCACAGAGCTCCTACCTCACCACACCCTCCTGACCTTAGAGGACCCTCACATCTGGGCTTGGCCCTGGTCCTGCACAGAGCTCCTACCTCACCACACCCTCCTGACCCTAGAGAACTCTAACGTCTGTGGTTGGCCCTGGTTCCTCCCCAGAACTCCTAACTCATCACACACTCTGGGGCGTGAGGTACCAGCTCACCACTTTACCAGGGGGCAAACCTGGGCATACAGACACAGTTCCCACACATTTGTGGCAGCTGTCTCTGACCTGGGGCTGCCCAGGCCTGGGAGAAGCTCTCGTGGCCTTGTGGCCTCCCTCATGAGGTAAAGCACAGCTCCTCAGGCTCTAGAACCACTCCTGGTTCCCCAGGCCTGGGGCCCTAAGGGTTCCACGTTTTCCCACTCCCTCCATCCAACCCGCTCCTGACTTTCGGAGAAAAGCCAGGGGAACCAACCTCCCTTGGGTGGTCTTCCTGGTCACTGATGCTGGGTGCCTCTCTGTATTGCACAGAGCCATGAATCCAAGTTTCACCTGCTCAGCTGGAAAGCAGGGTCTCAGGGGGAAAGCCGCTGCCCAGGGGCATGACCTGGAAACTGACAGAGCGGATCTGCTTGAGTGCCCACCAGCAGGCCTCCATGTGACAGGGAGAAGGTGTTCACTGGGCTGCTGTAAGCTGATTGTTTCTAGGGCCTGATGCAGGGTAGAATTCAGAGCTTTCCCTTAGAAGTTGACCTGTTTGCAAAGCACAAGGCTACCCTACCTATTTCATAAAGGTTCTCGCCTGCCCTCAGGGAGGCAGCCACCGGGTCCCTGCTGGTGCTTGGAGAGGAGGATGGAAAGGAAGGACCTTGTGGGTGCAGGAACTGAGAGCCACGGAGGCAAGGGTGGTGGCTGCACTTTCTCAGGTGCCTCTGAGAACAGTCCTAGAGAGGCTCCCTGGGTGCCTGCTAACAGCCTCCCAGGTCTGCTTCCATCTCTGCAGAACACTCTGCTAGGCTACATGTGATTAAAAGTACAATTTTACTCACAGTGGCAGAAGATCATGAAGCACATGCATCAGCACGTATTAATCTCAGGATTCTACACATGCAGTAAATTAGAAAGTTCATCCATCAGCTAAAAAGAGCTTGCTCCCTAGCTGTTGTTTGATGTTCCATGTGAACACTCATCCTGGAGTATGAGGATTTACTGTATCAATAGAACCACACAGTGGGAAGTGTGCCACCCCGCCCACCCAGAGCCCAGGGTGAGACCCTGCAGGACACAGGAAGATCAGGAGTGAGTCGACCTGGTCTACCTGGCACAGAATTGCTGATCTGACCCCAGCTGGGCAAGCGCTCTCCCAGGAGCATTGCCCCAGCCCAGGTAAGTGATGATGGTGACAGTGAATCAGACACATCCATGATGGAGACGACTAGACAAGCCTTCCCTCATGAGTCTCAGGAAACTTTAAGCCAACTTACAGAAATATGAAGGGCAGAAGCAGTGGCAAGCCAACTCTGGGTGTTCTGCTGGCCGAGGAGTGTGCCTCGGGGCCACGAGGCCTGAGGCTGTTGAGTTCTGGGGCAGTGGAAGGGGAGAGGCAAGCTGGGCCCAGCGAGTCTCCAAAACACACAGGTAAGGCCAGCTGAGCCTCTCTGTGGGCAGAGGATGCTGCTGTTCCAGCTCATCTCCAGGTATTTGGGCTCCTGTGGGAAGCCATTCTCACACGTGATCGGGTGCCTCCGGTTGAGGGTCTGAGGCACTTTGGCATAAGTCGAAGTTTTTCCCGGCCCTCTCCTGATGAGAGAGCCCATCCGTGTGGGGGTGTGCCTGACCACTGACCCCGGGGACCCAATCGCTGACCCTGACCTTGGAGTGCAGCCCCCCCTCAACTTTCATTGGATGGAATTCTCCCCTGAATCTCTGGTTCCCTAATAAAAGGCTACTCCCCGGCGTGCTCGCTC